CTCAGGGTCCTCCTCATAGGACAAGTAATGGGCCAATAAATAGGGCCTCCTCAGAAGGAGTGGCCGCATAAGCGGTTGTTATCCCCCATTGTTGGGATAACCAAAGGACTAGGAAATATGGTCCGAAGAATCTCGATAGTAGTTCCATGAACAATCCTTTGCGGTATTTTATTTTTTTTATAGTGGAAATGCCATAAAGCGCGAACCAAGATCCGTGATACGAAAACAAAAATCAGAATGAGGAAGAAAAAGATATCGTGATGTAAGTCTATTATCTCATTCTGTTTGAAAATTCGTGTAAAAGTTAGTAATTCGACTTTCTAATAGAGTCGTTAGTTTCGCAGCTCTGGGAGAGTCTTCCATTTATTTATTCTCAAAACTGATTCAATCTCTCATTATAATGTTCATTTATGTTGATGATATAATTGTGATGAGTACAAATACAAAAATGATGGAGGACCTCATTCACCAATTGGGCACGGAGTTCGTCATATAGGATTTGGGAGCTCTTCGTTACTTCTTTGGCTTAGAAGTGTTAAACACTCCAACATGAATTTCTATATCACAATTTAAATACTCTCAAGACCTCCTCTGCCAAACTGGAATGCTAGAAGCTACTCATCTCAGCATTCCAATTGAAGCCACAACCACTTCAATCCATACACAACAATGATCTTGTTGATCAAAATAAGTATAGAAGTATTGTAGGATCACTATATTACTTGACCCTTACAGACCAAACATAACTTTTGCAGTAAATAAAGTCTGCCAACATCAACAGGAACCAAAGCACAAAGACTTAAAAGATAGTGAAACAGATACTGAGATACATCAAAGGAACACTAAGGTATGGGTTAATTTTCCACAAAAATAGCTCCCTAAATGTTTATGGTTTTTCTAATGTAGATTGGGCACAGGATGACCTAACATAAGAAGGAGCACCACAGGATCATGTATCTTCTTAGGAGCAAACTGCATATCATAGAGCTCAAAGAAATAAACAACAGTGGCAAGATCAGACTCATGAGCTGGAGCAATGACATCGACTACAAGACCTAACTTGGATCATTTTCTCTCTAAAAGACATTGGAATAAAAATCTTAAAGCCTCCCCAACTTCTATGTGACAACGTTGGTACCGTGTACATGGTTAAGGACCTCAGGAGCAAACTAGGAGTGCATGAGATACCCACCATTTCGAGGATAAAAGATGTGAAATTTGGGTTAATTGAAATTACAGGTCATTGGGCTATTTCCTTGAAGCTGCCATTAATTTTCCCAAATCGGTAACAAAAGGAAAAAATATGACTGGAAGGTTATTCATTCTTATTGACCATTACAGCTGTATTGCCTTTTCAATTGTGCTCAAATCCCCCTTAATTTGTGACGTATTTGATTGTAATTATTTGTTTAAATCCCCTTAGTTCTTCCCTTATTTGTGTTTCCCAAATTAAGTCAGCCGTTGTACACTTTCTATTTTTTATTGTGTAAGTACTATTTATCTAGCATGAGGTGTATTATTCAGATTGAATAACAAGAATTATACATTGCAATTTGTATCAAACTGATTTGAATTTCTTTAAAAGAAACAGTTTCTTAGAGAAAATTTGAATATCTAGAAGAAGAGAAAAAACTCCCAAATTTATGACAAAAAACAAGGCATGTTGAAGTCTCTTTCTTTTCTTCTTTCTTTTTGAGTTTGAAGATTTTTTGGCTGCCTTCTTCTTTTTCRTCATTCGAAAGTTTGTTAATATTGATTATTGAGTGGAAAAAATGATCTCGAACAGACTTTGTTATTCTTCACACGATCGCCTTTCTTTATAGAGTTTTGGATATGGTTTGACGATGAATATTGTATTGGTACAGTGCCACTCCTTAGAGTTTTATCTACATGTGAAGATTTGTAATCCAGGGATTTTTGTCTATAAACTGATGATTTGTAATATGGGGTAGGGCTGCAAATTATTTTTAAAGATATGGTAGCTTTCCTTATAGATCAGTACATTGGGGTTAGGATGTTGATTTTTGAACATGTAGGAATGAATTATTATTATTTTTTCTCTTTTAGTAAAATACCTTGTTGGTCCTCCAGTTCAATTTAGCCTATAGATTTCACAATTTGACATGCTTATCCTTGAGGTATTTAGGGAGTAATTCATTTTAGTCCTTTAAATATTAGTCGAACGTAAAAGAAAAATGATGTGGCATATTTTATAATAAAATAACTGACGTGATAGTTTTATTTTATAAAATAGTGGTGATGTTGTAGTTAAAAAGAAAAAAAGAAAAAAAAAGAAGAAGAACGTCCCTCTCCCTCTTTGGCACTCTTCCTGGCCCCGATAGTCCCTTTCCCATCGTTTCATCTCCTTAGTGGGAGAGAGGAGGAGATTGGATAGGCCGATAAGGGAATAAGATCGGAGTAATAAGTCTAATATGAAGTATACTCACTAATAAACTTGATATGGGTATATGTGATCTTTATTCGTATTTTGGTTGGGCTTCTATTTTAAGTCAGGGTTATATTTGCAATTACCTTTTTTTTTCTGTTATCAAAATAAAAAAAAAAAAGAAAAAAACTATTAAGGTTTTTCTGTAATTGCAAGCAACCTATAAAATAATAAAAATTACAATAGTTAATTATTTTAATTAAAAATAGTAAAAATAGTCCTTATCAGCCAAATTCAGAGTAAGAATTTTTATTGTACCTAAAGGATTGGTTCTTGTTTCTTATAATAAATAAATCATTTCGATAATAGGAGACTAAATGTGGTAACCAATAACCATCTATAAACACTTATAAAAGCGTTRATTCTTCCGCACGAAGAAACTATTCTTGAAACTAACTTAGTTTATGTGCCTCAAATTTTTAAATTAGTGATCGATGACRCATTCGATATGATTTCTAACAACTCCAAAATTTTCTTCTCAATAAAAACCTAATAAAAAAATAAATATGAGTGGTTTCTTATTGCAATCACGTTGAGACACGCTTAATTTGACAAATAAGATAAAGAAAAAAAATCSAAGAAGGTTACACAATCAACAAATTGGGGACCAAAGGTGAAAGAAGCAGTTTCTTAGAGAAAATTTGAACACTGAAGGAAGAGAAAAAACTCCCAAATTTATGGYAAAAACAAGGCAYGTTGCAGCAGCTYCTCCTCTGAAATCTCAACAGATAAGAAGCAAAATATGTGGCCTTTGTAGCTTCTTTTGAAACAAACTCCAAATGATCCAAGTTGGTCAAAAAGTGGCGTAAGCTCTCATGTGATCTAACAATTGAACTATGGAATCATTCGTATGTACTTTTAAGAATGAATAAACYACTSCTCAACCAAAAAACTRAAACTAATGGAATGGATAAATTTAATTCATATATTGGATATCTAACACTAACTGCACATCTTTTKGCAGTTTAGTGATCTATTTAATAGTTTAAGATAATTCTAATCCTTTACAAATTTTTGTTTCCTTCCCTACTTCGTTTTTTAAATTATTCTTTGAATGATTATGAGATAAATTTAAATATTTATCCAGGTTTGCACAGGAAACTACTGGTGTTTTTTTTTCCTATTTTTTGTTTGTTTATGTTGAGATTGCTGTTTTTAATGTATTAATCTTTATTTATTTCATTGAATGAGTTATATTTATATGTTTTACAACATGCCATTAGGATATTTGGACTCGTAGATTATTACTAATCTTATTTTCTTCAACAATATTTTACATGAATTGTAATTTTAAATACTAAAAAACTCATCTAGTTATGTCTTATGCTATAATATTGAGAAAATCGATTTATTTCATTTTTGTTGTACTACAAAAAATAATCCTTCATTAAGCATTCATTAAACAACTGACATCCATATTTTCAACCATTCTGGAGGCTTTATTGGGGTTTTAAGGTCACATCTTGTCCTGTTTATTTTTGTTTTCTGAGAATTATAAAAAAATAAATAATTAAATAAAGCTTGTCCACCAATTACATAAGAATTATCACCATACTAAACTATTAATTAATAAAGTAGGGGCATAAGGTTTCTAAATTGTTATAGGTTTAAATTTAATCATCTTACATGAGACTACTGAAACTTGTGTGAGGGGTGGTAGGTGCACATGTTGCCATGGTTAGTGGAAACATGATATAGGGTGGTGGTCGCACTTATGGACCACATACACATTTCTTTTACTGTGTCCTATTTTTCGTTTGACTGTCTCATTTGATCCCCTTTAATAGTACGAAATTAATTGACTATCTAACACCAATACCAACACATATAAGAAAGAGATTGACAGTAAGGTGTTCTTTTCAAATTGACTATCAAGGTGCGACAACCCCACCCACACAACCATAGCATGGAGGTGGTCCGTTTGAATTGTTCTTGAGCTGGATGACGAAAAAATATTGTGTTTGGAGCAAGACTCGTTCAAATCTTTATTGATAATATCTTCCTTGCATAAAATGTCCATTTTAACTCTCTAAGTATATAAAGACATTAGGTTGGAGGGAAAACATAAAAAGGAGGATTAATTACATGTTTTTGTTTATTTATTGAGAGAACATTTACTGCAATTAAAAATCAATAAAAAGAGAAAAAAAAAATGAAGAAGTGAGGAAATAAAATATAGAAAAAATTTAAGGTCTATAGGCACATGTCTTTTATATTGTGAAAGTATATTATGAGATCAATCTTAGGTAAGTTTGAGATTTCTGAAATGAGTTATGTGCATAAAAGTCTTTCAAGTTCTCTAGTACAGTGATTATGCACTCGGGAATATTTAAATGATTAGGGGCGATAAATGATAAATGTCCCTTGAATATTAGAAATGAAGAGTTTCATGCCTAAAGTCATGACACTTTTGATAAAGTATTCATATCAAGAATGGGAGACCAAATTTATTTTGATAACTCTTGATTTGATATAAAGAGTTGTAAGATACTTAACATAGGAAAACATACTCACTCATTAAAGTAAAACCAATTTGACTCGAGACGTGTTTTGCTCATAAATGTTGATAGAACAACTTCTTAAACTCATTCATACACTTGGTCTGCAGGCATATGATCAGGATGAGGGATCCATCGTCTGGACCCGGCATGATTATCGACAATCCATCCTCTACTACCAACGGAGTCGGACCGACGTAAGACGGTCTTCCCCACCCAAAATCGGCATCGTAAATTGGCATCGAGGTCCAACACCCCAAGTCCAGGTTTGGGTTGCCCCAAAAAGGAGTTACTTCAGTTTGATAGCACTCCTTTACCAACTCATTTTCTTTACTTGCTAGAAAGCTAATAGCTGACTTGATGTATTCGTCTGTAAGTTTCCATGTTCCTTCTCTTATGTTTCCTGCAGCATAACTGAGTGGGTTCTTTATAAGATCCCCAAACTTGCATATTGGTGTCACAGTCAACAAAATTGCATTTCCACAGAATCTTTCGGGGGGAGGTGGCCGTATTCGTTGCCTAATACTGGCAGTGATAAGGGCCACTGTCGGTTGGTCACTTTCACATCTCGTTGTATTGCTACGAGCCTTGCAGACACACGCCCATATATGCCCTCCCACGGCCTCAAATCTTGTGTATGGTCTGTTGAAATATAGATAAAAGAATAAATTTATCGTAACCCATCAATTTAATCTTTTTAGTTCAATGGTAGCTAGTTCTCGAATGGTAGCATATCAACATGAGATTATGTATTTGAACCCTTGCAACATCATTTTCTCCCCAACTATGCTATTTGAAGCTTTTAAAGTATGGGTAAAAGATTAAATTTATTGTAACTCATCAAATTAATCTTTTGGATTTGGTGGTAGTTGATTATGTATCTTGAACGGCTGCAATGTCATTTCCTCCCTCAGTTAATATTGATAACTGCATATCAAAGGCCTTTAAAGTATGAATAAAATATTAAACTGAGTATAGTACATAAATTTAATCTTTTAAGACGTTTAGTGGTAGTGCAGGATATTCTGTGTTTGAATTCTTGTAAGGTCATTTTTTCCTTCCTAATTAATTCATATGCATGCCGGTGGCTTTAAAGTACGGATAATTACCTTTGAGGGGTTGCACTTCCTTCATTTGCCATCTTTTTCAGTTTCTCATGTTGGTGTTTTGCGAGTTTTAGCAATGCAACCGTGGTTTCTTTGCTTCGCTCCTCCTTGACGTCTGAACGACCGATCAGGAGTGGAGGTGATTCGTACTCTCGATGATGGAAGCGCGGGGGGTCGAGTACTGGTTGTAGAAAGTCTCTCTCGTGGTTTGGCCACTTCGGGATAATACTCTCTATCGTCTTCTCCCCTTGTGTGATGCTCGCCCATAAGTTGACAAACATAATGGCCGAAATCCCATCGACCACAAAGTGAGAAATAGCAGTGCCGATCACAATTCCGCCGCAGCTGAATCTCGTCACTTGCACAAGAACCAATGGTTGGTCCTCGATGGGAGCGCGATGGTCAGGCTTTGGAACGAGTTGTCTCGTCGCATCGGACGGTGCAAAGTCACCGTAATCATCAAGCTTGGCATCAGCGAAAGCTTCGGCCTCGATGAATCGAACTCCAGCGCCACAACAATCAAGCTCGAGCCGACCGCCATCAATCCACCGGAGACGGCCGGCTAGAGGATAATATGGAACCAATATCTTGCTCAACGAGTTTCTCATGGAATCCATGGCGAGTGAAGAAGCATCAAGGTGATCAAAAGCTTTTTTGTACACATAAATGGTGAAACTATAACCATCCAGCATTGCTTGGTCGCTCTCTGACAATGCAAGGGTGCGATGGGGAGTGGGGTGGCTAGGGATGATTGTAGATGAAGAATGAATGGTTACACTTGGAAATGCCATTGCCATTTTGCTTTGCTTTGCTCTACTAACTCACATATACACTTTATATACAATGAAAGAATGATTATTTATGGGCTGATTTAGTAATAGCTATAGCTAACTTGAGTGCATAATTCTACCATTAATAAATTTTACCTTCTTTTAAGTTGGAGGTTGAAACTCTCACATTTGTTGTACTGAAAAAGAAAGTCGAAATCTCTTATTGATTTATATTGCATTTGAAATATGCCACCTCGTAAAATTTCAATAGTAATTCTTAGTGGTTGATGTTTACGTAAGTATTTTTCTTAAATATATAATTAAGAATAGAAAAATGACATCCCACTAAATTATTGATAAGAAAATAGACATGTCTTTAGAAATTAGAGGTGAGTTGGTAAGTATTGTGACTCGTCATCTGCTAAATAAATTCATAGAGATATGAGAGGAGAAAGACACCATTTTTGTTAAAAAAATATTAATAATAAAGATCTTGCAAAGGATACGTATCTATATAAAAGTATTGATAAATATATATTAAAAACTCTTCCTAAACAAGCATGTACATAATAGATCTTTTTTCTTTTCATGATCTCACAAAAATATTGATAAATATATATTAAAAAAATCTACAAAATATCATCCACCTACAAAAAATTGTGAATTATTTTACCACCTAAAATATTAATAGTCAGTCAATAATTAAAAAAAATAAAACATTTTTATATTCATGAAACCTTTTCTATTAAAATTCATGACTTTTCATTTTCTAAAATGACTTTTCATTTTCTAAAGTTATGTATTTTATTTTTTATTTTTACTTTTTATAAGGCTTAGAAAACTAAATTGATAAATAAAAATTAATTGCTCCTATAATTATAATATTAATGACCAATCAAAAAAACATTCTTACATTCATCATAAAACTTTCGTCTTAAAATTCATTACTTTTCTTTTTCAAAGTTAATTTTTTATTTTTTATTTTTGACTTTTCATAAGGGTTAGAAAATTAAATTGGTAAATGAAAATTAATTGCTTCCATAATTACAAAAAAATTATAATAGGCATAGTTTTACCACCTAAAATATTAATGGTCAATCAAAATTAGAAAAATATATTTTTTACATTCAACACAAACCTTTCATTTTAAAATTCATGACTTTTCATTTTCTAAGTTAATCTTTTATTTTTTATTTTTGACTTTTTATAACAATTAGAAAG